CCCAATTAAAAGATGGGAAAATGAGCTGAATAAACAAACAGTGGAAAAAGCGTATGAAGAAATGTTCAACATCTCTCATCATAAGAAAGATGCAGATCAAAAACACAATGAGATACCTCCCCCCACCCCAGTCAGAATGGTGAAGATTAAAAAAACAAAAAACGATAAGTGCTGAAGGGTATGCAGTGAAAGGGGAACATTCCTACACTGTTGGTGGGATTGTAAATTGGTCCAGCCATTGTGGAGAACAATATGGAGGTTCCTCAAAGACCTTTAAATAGAACTATCATACGATCCAGCAATTCCACTCCTGGGTATCTACCCAAAGGACAGGAGAATGCTCAGTCAGAAAAGCATTTGCACATATATATTTATTCCAGCATTATTCACGATTGCTTAGAAATGGAACCAACCCAAATGCCCACAAACAGATGAATGGACTGAAAAAGTGTGGCACATATACTCCATGGAATACTATTCAGTCATTTAAAAACAAGCAAGCAAACAAATAAACAAAACAAAATGATGAGACCCTGTCAAAGATACTTCTCTTGCTCTCTTTTGCATGCACACATGGTCTCTATTACAAATATAAATAAATAAAAGTATTAAAAATTGTAATGGACACTAGAGACAAAGTAGAAAGGGAACGTGGGAGAGGAAGAGTGTAGGAAAGGAAATTTTGGGGGGAAAAATAGAGAGGTAAGAAATATCCCATGTCTGTGGGACACAGATAAGGTTTATTACCTGTTGATGATGATGTGTATAGTATTCTCAACTGGGCTGGTCTTATGTGTATATCATGCTGGGTAAAGTCTCTTTACAATCTAAATGATGTATAGCAGTTGAACGTATAAATAATAATAATAAAGAAAAACAAAAAATAGCACAGAATTCAATACCGACATATGAAATGGAAGTTATTGGTACCTCCCCCTTTGAGGATCTGGAAGTAGACTTTACCAAAGTCAAGTTGTGCCAGAATTACTGGTGCCTGCTAGTTCTAATGTGTACTTATTCAGGCTAGATAGAGGCCCTCCCTACTGAAGCAGAAAATGCCCAAAAAGTGGCCAACGCTCTCCTCTAGGAAATTATTCCTCATTATAGATTGCTGTTAACTATCAGATCCAACAATGGTCCCACCTATGTCACAGAAGTGACTCAAAGTGTAGCCAAAGCACTGGGAATAAAATAGAAACTCCATCCCCAGAGCTCAGGGCAAGTTGAATGCATGAATCAAACTCTCAAATCCACCCTGGCTAAATTGTCTCAGGACACTTGCTACCATTAGCACTCTTCAGGTGCAATGCACCCCTACCCCCCCAGGAAACTTGACTGTTCCTCCTTTAAGATCCTGCCTGTTCTGACCAAGGTCAAGGGGGACACCCACCAATTTAAGGAACTAAACCTATACCGACACCTACAGGCACTCAGAAAGATTTTTCAAGAACTAGCTCAACACATACTGGAAAGAATACCACTACCCTTAGGGAGTTGGGCCCATCCACACAAACCAGGGAATGCTGTTTAGGTGAAAAGTTGGCAAAAAAAAAAAGTCGTCCAACCTACATGGGTGGGACCATGTATTGTTGTTCTCGTCACCCGTACTGCTGTTAAAGTTGCAGGTATCACCCCGTGGATACATCATATCCGGGTCAGGCCAGCAACACCTCCAGAGGGGCTAGGAACCTGGTTGGTGCAGAAGCATCCTGACAAGCCCTAAGCGTGAGCTTCTGGAAGAAAAAGGATGACAGCTCTGCTGCAGCTACTCCTAGACTAGTTGCTCAACTCATGGATGAAGCCTAAGCAATCTACAGCCCTGCTTTGATCACTCCAGAAGCTGATCAATCTATGCACAGTAGAAGATTGAGGATCCATTTCCCCAAAAGACATACATGGACTCCCCTGAGGGACCCCAGACTGTTTGTAATAATTCCCTGATCCTAACTCTCCTCGCTGTAATTGCTTTAGTTTTTGCTGTAGGCCTGGCTGCAATAGCTCCCACTTTATTGGAAATGGTATGGGAAGCTCCTAGTAGTGTTTTCCTACCTGTCATGTATAAGAGGTTTCATCACAATTCAGTGCCTCTAGGGCAAGAAAGCCCCTCAATCATAATCCCTGTTACTATAATCTTCCTACTTCTTGCTGAGAGCTGTCCTCACGTTTCTGGGGTCAACTTGCCAACCTGTTCAGAATGTATAAAGACAGTCAGGGTGGGTAGAAAAACACTAAGAAACCTCCCAGGCCTCCCACCCCTAGTCTTTGGGGGAACTGACCAGTTGGTGTTCACAGCTGAAACATTTGTCCAGGCAGCATGTTATGAGCAGACAAAGGCCCGAAAATGCTCTTATGACAACAAGGTATACTGGGTAGCCCAATCAAAAGGGGACTATGCTGGCTACCGGTGCCCACAGAAAAACAAACATTTTTGCATGACTTTGACCACTCATTGGGGCTATAATAGTGGGGGTGGGCTCCAAGATCAGGAACGCCAGCAGGAAATCGACAGAACTGTAAAGAACCTTAGTCCTAAGCAGCGAACCTGGCGTCTCCTCTGAATTCCCCAACCCCAATGCCATCACCCCCACAACTGGTGCTAGAGTAATTCAATTGCTTAACACTACCCGTATTTACTGAACTATACCTCCCCCACACTGGCCATGGGGTGCTAGTTGTGCCTATAATCCACTCTTCCGCTCTTAGATCAGACTTCAACTTCACTGAGGTGTCTCAAGATAACTGCACCTCTGTCCTTATGGGCATAGTTGCTATGGATATAAAGGTGGTACACCCGGCAAGAAGTTGCCTCAAAAATCTTACTGGTTGAATTAAGGTAGACAACCTTACAGACAAAAACTGTAACCAGACAACTCCCATTGACAGCACCAGTGTCACCTGCAGTCCTTGGAAGGGAGTCTACTTTGTCTGGTCTGTACTCATATCAGTGTCTTCCAGCTCCCTGGACAGGGCTATGTGAACTGACAATCCTAACGCCCCTGATTAACATAGTACCTGGTAACCAAACCTTGGAAGTTCCCCGGATGACACATGTCCGAGTAAAATGGGCCATTCAAGTCATTCCTCTACTCCTCAGGCTAGACAATACAGCAGGAGTAGGGACAGGAGTAGGGGGTATAGTCACCTCGACACATATTACTGTTAGCAATGACCCAGGAGCTGGCAGATGGGATTGAATAGGTTGCTCAAACCATGATAACCCTCAAGGATCAATTCTATTCCCTGGCAGAAGTTGTCTTCCAAAACAGACAAGGGCTATATCTGTTGACATTGGAAAAAGGCGGGGGGAGTCTGCCTATACCTGGGAGAAGAATGTTGTTTTTATGACAAGTCCAATATCATTAGAAATATGGTTCAACAACTCTGTGACCAAATGGCAAAAAGGAGACAGGCTGCCACAAATTGAAGGGAACGTGAGAACAGCCTTTGGCAGTGGGCTCCTTGGCTGCTGCCCCGATTAGGCCCCCTCTTAATAGTATTCTTAAGTTAACCTTCAGGACATGCATATTAGACCTCATTACATAGTTCATCTCCTCCAGGATAGAAGCCATTAAATATTGATGTTGGTTGCAACCTGGCTACCAATCTATTCTCCTTAACAGATATTTAAGGAGTCTCAAAGGGGGGGAATGAGGCAGGAAATGGCCAGCCAGGCCACCCACAAGATAGAAGATAAGCAACACAGCTCAGCAACTGAAAGCTAGCTAATGAGGGAAGGATGCTCACCAGCTGGAGGCTAGCTAAGGAAGGGAGGTCATCAGACTCTAAGGACAAAGAAATAGCTGAATTTTTATTCCTTATGGTCTGTAACTGTTGCAGCCTTTCCCCCTGCGCCATCCATCACCTACACCACATGCTTACTGTGCTGGCCTCCCCTGTTTGAAACAGATATAATCTCCTACCCCACCCCAAATCAGGGCTCAGCTTGGAGCCTTAACTCCTCTGGGTCTGCCGGTGTAATAAATCTGGTTTTCCTACTCTCCGAGTGGCGTTTGGTTTTTTGGCAGTCTGCAACAGTTGTACATGCTTTCTCCCTTTCTTCTTTTACGGTCATGCCTCCATCCATCCTGCTCTTGCCCCATCAATTCACAAACACTGTCTTTATCAAGATTGTTGAGTGCCTCCATTTTTCCTCTTCCTCGGAATCACCTATAGACCCATTCACCCTCAGCACTCTAATCCAGTAGAGTTCGGTGAGGCAGGAATTTGTTCCATTTTGTTGACTTCTGATACTGAACACATAAGATGCCCAACACATGGCAAGTACCAATCTATATTTGTTGAGTTAATGAAAGGCCAAGTTTTCCTGGAAATTCTAGTACTTTTGCTGATTGATTCTTCTCATTTCTATCACATCTCATTCTTTTCTGCTTACCTCCAAAGTATTAGTGTTCTCAGCTTCCGTTCTCAATCCTTTGCTATTCTCATTCTGTTCACTTTATACTTCAGCTTGGCAAGATTCTTTTAGAGTTCTTGTCTGGATCAGTGTAATAACATACAGAAGATATCTGTAGTAGACTTTTAAGTACAAAGCTACAAGTTTTCCCCTTAGACATGTACCAAAAGATTAGAGGGCCTAGAGGCATTGAAGATAGTTAAGGATACTGGAGACAATGTGGAAGAAGGGTGGGAGAGGGGAAGAGCCTAGGGAAGGAAACTAGGGAGAAAAAAAAAAAAGAGAAGTAAGACAGCCATGGGACACAGAAATAGTTTATTACCGTTGGTGATAGTGTGTATAGTATTCTCAACTGGACTGGTCAGAGGTGTATTTCATGTTGGGTAAATTCTCTTTATAAGTTAAATGATGTTTAGTGATTGAATGTATAAAATAATAATAATAATTATGAAAAAGAAAATGTAATGACCAAAAAAAAAAAGAAATATAGAAAAAATAGAAAGTTATCATGCACATTCCCAAAACAGGAAGATGGTGCATAAGCTCTTTGAATATATTGTGCTAAGAGACTCTTCTGGGTTTGCAGGTCACCATGGCAACTGGACCCAGGATGATGGCCCCCATATGTCTAGTGGAAAACGAGGACAATAGGCTGAAGGTGAATTCAGATGCAATAAATATTCTTGAAAGGACATCTGAGCATGTGGTCATTGTGGCCATTGTAGGGCTGTATCGTACAGGAAAATCATACCTGATGAACCGCCTGGCTGGACAGAACCGCGGTGAGTGTTGTCCTGGGGCAGGGACCATTTGCTTGGAACCATTGAAAATGTAAGCTGATCATATCTACTCTAGGGTCATTTGCAGAAGATCCTGTCGTCTCCCAGTGAAAAACCTTCTCTTGCTCACCACCAAATTTACAATCTCAATCCCATTTCTCCACAAAACGTCACTTGTTGGTCCAGTAATAATCATCACAATCTGATCAAGTGACTCACTCCTTTAGTTCTCTGTTTCCATTTACTCTTACCAGCTCAGGAGTTCAGTGTCTGTAATAATTCCCTTTCTTTCTCTCACAATACTTTTGTCCAAATATAGGTTCATTTTAAGTACCACATATATGTAGTTTAAATGTGCTGCTTTTAATAATGAAGGGGAGGGGAACCAGCAGTTAGCATAATGTCTATATCACTGGACTCCCACGCAGTCGACCGTGGTTCGCGTTCCGGACCCGGTGGCTTTAACTCATGCCGGGCGCGTGTGCGTGCGTGCCCAAGATCCCGAGAGGAGAATGGAGGAGAAGGGATTGCGGCGTGACCTTCCCCCCTGGGGGGTGATTTCTCACTTTCTGTCTCTCTGTCTCTCTCTGGCTGTCCCCAAGATCCCGAGAGGCGAATGGAGGAGAAGGGATTGCGGCGTGACCTTCCCCCCCTGGGGGTGATTTCTCACTTTCTGTCTCTCTGTCTCTCTCTGGCTGTCTGGCAAGTGCATGCACCCTATAGCAAAAACCTCTCAAAAAAAAAACAATGAAGGGGAGGTAGGACAGACAGACAGAGGATATCTCTAGATCCCATAACTCAACGGGACCACCAGTCAATGAGTTTGTTCCATTTGATAGCAAAACTTTCCTGTCTCTTCCATTGTCCTTCCAGGATCTTGGGCATGCATGCAAAGGCGCCCAGTGTGAGTTTCAAGTCACCAGGTCCAGGACTCAAACTGTGGTCAGCCATGTGGAAGTCCAGTGACATAACTGCTACACCATCGTCTGGTCCTGGTGTAAAATAAATTTAGTAAGTCTAAAGCACCGTGACCAGGACCGGCTGAGACTAGAAGTGAATCACAGCATAAAAAAACCTTTTTGTGGTACCAGCTCTCTGTCTGTCTCTTTCTCTTGCTCATGGAAAAAATTAATGAATAATGTTAAAAAAAAAAATAAAAGTAAAGGACCAGCACGTGGCGTGGAGGCTAAGGTGCTGAATCCTGCATGCCCAGGTGTGCAATTCAAGTCCTGGACTCAGCAGCTTGAAAATCACGCTGAGCATGTGTGCATTTATGCCCAACATCATGAGAGGAGATTGAAGAATAAGAGGAGACTGTAGTATAGCCATACCTCAATGGGGGGGGGGATTTTTTGTGTGTTTTAAGAGAGGGTATTTTTTTTTTTTTTTTTTTTTTTTTTTTTTTT